TTGCTAATAATCATCTTCATTAACATGTGCAAATTAACATTAATTATATAAAGACTTCTATACATAAACATAATCTCTTCCTTTCTGAAAGTGAACTAAAACACAGCTGGAAAATAATTCCTCAAAGTTTGTAAATTATAGCTCACTCCTTCAGCTGAAATGGTAACAAAAATGTTTCCAGAATGACTATTCTGAAATTTCAGTACATACAGAAATGAGTACAATATGGTGAATAGGGTGTGCTGTTTGTGTGAAGATTACTTTTTAAGAAGAGAGAAGGCAGAGAGACTATTCTCTTTGTAATATTTAAGCTGTCTTCCCTTGGAAGAATAACAAGATTTTCTGTACTTTTTGTCAGTTGCTTGCTAGATTTTTTTATTGTATTTAGCTTTGTAGTCTATTAGAAGAGAACACCTTTACTTTCATACATATGTGTTAGAATTAAGACTTATGAATAATCACATGTGAAATGAAGGCCTTGTGGACAAGACACAGAAACTAGAGCTGCAGGCCCTGAGGAACATTTTTCATTCTGCCCTGAGAATGTTCTTTGCCAAGTCAAAGATTTTCTACTTTTCCTTGGTTTCTGCACACATCTTGCAGAATCAGATATAGCAAGACTGAAAAGTAGTGTGAGTTTCTACTTCCTCTCAAGATTTCGGGATGGAAGATGTTATCAAAGTGGAAAGCATTAGTGAAACTGGCTAGCGTGTTAGGGAGGTTTCATAATGAAAGTACAGTGATTTAGGCTCAGTAGGAGAGCTTTCTCATCTGCTTCCTTTCTCTCTCTTGCCCCTTCCAATTTTTTCTTATCACTAGATATCAGTGGGGTAGAGAGAAGAGAGGAGCTCATCCTTCCTACAGCAGGAACAATAAGTTTTAGCAGCAGGTGGGAAATAGATGGAGTCAAAGCATATAGCAACCAGCTCATTTATAGATTCACTAAAAGCAAAGACTGACTTCAGTTCCATGGGACAAAGCCCTGATCTGGGTGACAGCTTTCTTCTTGGCTTGAAAGCAGATGGAACTGGAAAGAGCAGGAATC